CTCTGTTTAGAATGTAATTCATATTTTTAACAACAATTGAGTTAAATATTATGTTATGTTTATGTGGAAAGCTATTCGGATTGGAGAGAGAGAGAGAGAGAAGAAAACATATTAAAACATATTGAAATGTGTTTCAATTTCAGCTTTATTAACAAATGGATTGAATCGACAATAAATACGGTAAATTCAACGGAGGCCAAAAATTTAGTAAAAATGTATCTGGCTCCTATTACACTATACGCAGCGCCCACCAGTTTAACCAAGGTGCGTAAATGCGATTGGGCTGACATACCGGCCCCTTCAGGCCCTCACCGAAAGTCAGTGCACGTTCTCGTCGCCAAAGCGTTGATCAATATCGACACTAAGCAACAAAAGCAACAATAATTTAGAATATTCTACAATATTTAGAATTTTGAATAGAATTTGTATATAAAATTGCTCTACTTTTTTAATTAAATTAAAAATTTCAATTAAATAAAATATAAAAACATACATCACAATAGGTTCGTTATTTAAATTAAATTAAATTAGGTGCAATTAAAAACATTTGACGTTTTACAAGTTAAATTTATTTCCAACTCAAATTTAAATGGCTGATCCCATTTAAATAGTATTTATTAATATTTTATTTTCCAAGTGATAATTGTGATCACTATAATAATGAGCATGATATTTTTAATACGATTCATGTTTTAATAATGATGCCAATTGAGTGTACAATACAATAAATTTATATTCAATAATTTTCTCATTATGATCTCACAGTAAAAGGTTATGTTGTAATAAAATATGTAAAATATTATTCTACGTTATTTATAAAACTACATAATGTAAAAATTGCAAAAATAATTGAAAATATTTATTCAAATAAAAATAATAATTAATTTAATGTAAATTTCATTTTATCTTTACAAATATTACAACTATTTTAAATGTAGCACTCAAATTACAGTGTAAAAAAGGCTTATACGTGTGAAATTAAATAAATTACATTATTAGTTATTATTTCATAACATTTGGCAAACTCAAACATGTTTACAAATAAAGTTTATAGATTTTAATGGCATGTTTGCAATATTGCGTTAGATCTCAAATGCCCGGACTGTCCTGACGAAATATGGACCGTTGGTCATCCTATTATATTCCACATTTTGATATAGATTTCGCAGGAATTTCTCGTCCTTATGCAATCATTTGTGAGTACACATTATTGGCTGTGAGCTCCACACACCCCACACACAGCCAATCATATTGCTGTAGTATATGTACGTGTACTCACAAATGACTGCATTAGGACGAGAAATTCCTGCGGAGTCTTTAATACAGTATAGGTAAAGTTTTTGCATATAGTCTTATATTGAAAATAGTGAACAATACATATGGTTTATAATAATTAATATTTTAATAAAACGAATCCAATTACTTATTACATTTGCAAACTTCACAAACATGTTTACAAATAAAGTTTATAGATTTTAATGGCATGTTTGCAATATTGCGTTAGATCTCAAATGCCCGGACTGTCCTGACGAAATATGGACCGTTGGTCATCCTATTATATTCCACATAAATTATGTCATATCCATTTCAAAAACGTATATCAGAATATAACTTTTATCACTTGTTATGTATACCAAATATTATTAATTATAAAATTATTTTGCTTAGGTTAATGAATAATGTAAACGTTTGAAGTCAAATTGTCGTCTATTCCCAACTCAGTTCCTCATAACGTATTTGATTTGATTTTGATTTACAAAATATACTATTAATTGAAAATAATCGTAGAAAATGTCAAACACTTGTGACTCGGATGTAGTGATCAGTGGAATGAGTGGTCGGTTCCCACTGTCGGACTCGACCGATGAGTTCGCCCGCAATCTCTTCGATGGCAAAGATCTGGTCACCGATGATGACAGTCGTTGGCCTAAAGGTATTATTACATTAATAAGTCAACCAATTTTTACATTTATGGTTTAATGACGTTATCTTAAATATTTAACTAAAACAAATTAATTAAATATTTAAAATATTATATGATAAATATAAATAACTAGAATAAATGCACAACATTGTAATAATTATATAATTAAACATAACTTTATATGATTTTTATTTAATATCGAGGTATTAATGATATATCGGGAAGAATGGGACGAATCAAGACTTACGACAGATTTGACGCACAATTCTTTGGTTATAACGAATCGGTGGCTAAAGAAATAGATCCACAATCGAGACTCTTATTGGAGGTCACATACGAAGCCATAATGGATGCCGGTATTCATGTTTGCAAACTTTACTTTTTAGTTTCATATACAGTATTCCTGAAAATAATTTACACTGTATTTTACAATTTGACATAAACTATAAATTGGTTCGGGCGACTGGATAGCACTTTTATGTGCCCGAAACTAATTGACACATTAGTCATTAGTACACATTTTCAATGCTAATTAATATGTAAAGCCCAAGCCTAGAGCATCGACCCGTATTATTTAATACACTGTATATAATTTGTGTTTTAGGCATTCACCCGAATGAAATAAAAGGCACACAAACGGGTGTATATGTTGGGGCTCTGGTCTATGGGTTTACCCAAGGATTCCCGGAGTATATACAGAATGACAGTCCAAAGAGTGTCCGTAACTCCAATATGGCTTCGATGGGAAACGCAAAATGCCTTTTCGCCCAAAGAATATCCTATGTGTTTGACTTTAAGGGACGCCGTAAAAAACACCTGAGGCGGACAAGAAGGTCAAACTGGCGTAATTGCGATCGGAAATTACTAAACTTAGTTCCATAAATGCATCTATACTAGAAATATTAATTCCATTACAACTAATGTACATAATCAATTAAGCAATTGATTACAATCTTATCCTAAAACTGGGATAAACTCCCCAACATATTATATAGGGAGAAATCACCAGAAGGGGAGATAAGTTTATGGTTGCAAAGACAAATATAAGCCCCAAACCCTCGGCTCTGATGTATTAACGCATAAATAATGCCCCGACCATTAAGATCACAACCAATTGAAAGAATCCTTTTATGTTATTTATGTTATATCCAAATATAATTGAAAATGATTTGAATGTTTTATTGATATACAAAATGCAGGAAATATTGATTACGCGATAGTATGCGGAACACACATGTCATTTGAGCCATTCATTAATCAATGGCAACAATTGATTGGCGTTTGTTCTCCGAGAGGAGTGTCCGCAGTATTTGACGAGTCGGCCGACGGTTATGTCAAGTCGGAGGCCGTGAGCTGTCTATTCCTGCAGCGGAGACGCGACGCCCGCCGAGTGTGCGGACACGTATTGGCCGCTCGTATAGGTATGGATGGGAACAAAAAGTTGGGACAATTTTATCCGTCGGGCGAATCTCAGGCGGCGTTAATGAGAATGACATACAGAAAGGCAAACATCGATCCGTTAAGACTGACGTACTTTGAGTCCCACTCGACGGCCACTAAAGCTGGAGATACCGAAGAAGTGAAGGCCATATACAGCGCGTACTGCGAGAACCGGACCAAACCATTACCGTTGGGGGCCTTAAAGAGCAATATGGGTCACTCGGAGGGCGCCTCTGGAGTGGTCTCTATTGTCAAAGTGTTGATCGCATTCGAGAATCAATGCATTCCTCCAAACATTAACTTTAATACTTTAAAGCGAGAGTTGAGACCATATTTTCCACCCCTTATGCCTATTATTGCAAAATATGCTTATATTCCAGGTTTGTGTGCATAATATTGTTTTAATTCTAACATTCAGATTCGTCAGCCTTTTCTGCTGTTTATTGGCAAATGAAACGGTATCTTAAAATTTTCAGATTTAATTAAACATTAGACAAAATTTAATCGTATGTAACTAATGTACGCGAAATATACCCGCATATAATTGTACAATTATGTAAACTGAAATTTAGTTAATTTAGATACAATTAATAAACTATCTTACATGTACTGTACATTAAATATAATTTTGAACGCTGTTAGTTAAGGCACTTAAGGCATAGGCACAGACGTATGGTATTGCTTGTAGTCGTTATTAAAATCAATATCTAAAAGGTTTGGCGGCAGTGAATAACTTCGGAATCGGCGGCTCTAATGCACACGTATTGCTCGAACCCAACCCTAAAGTGGGAACCAGTGATGGCCTCAGAATCGCGGAAACCATTCCCAGAATTGTTAATATTTGCGGACGAACTGAAGATGCGGTCAAATATGTGATGGATTTCATACAAAACAACCCAAAGAGAGTGACGAATGACTTTTTGGCACTTTTGGCCCACACTATGAAATACACGCCTAATGTTAATTCAGCCGGATTTCCGTATAGGGGTATAGATTTGTTAAATGTGCTATAAACTTAATTATAAAGTTGTATTATTTTAGGTTCACTTATAATAAAGAAAGTTTCGGAAGAAAGCAATGAAATAAAATATAAATACGAGAGACAAATAGGAGAAATGAAAAGTAAAAGTATAAGACCTCTATGGCTAGTGTTCCCGGGTTTGGGCGGTCAGTGGCCGGCAATGGCTAAGGCTTTGATGACAATCAAGATATTCGCCGATAAAGTGGAAGAATGCTATCAAATACTACACGAGTTTGGAATCGATTTGAAATATTATTTGTTATCTGAAGACAAAGCATCGATGTCTTCAGTAAACGCAAAATTTTGTTCGACAATTGCTTTAGAGATAGCGTTGTTTGAAGTGATGAAAGCGCTGGACATCAAACCCGACGGTATAATTGGCCACTCGTTCGGAGAGATAGCCTGCGCTTACGCTGACGGGTGTCTCACCACAAGAGAGGCACTTGTGCTGACGTACGCGCGAGCGATGGTTTCAAAACAGTTTAAACATTTGATACCTAAGGGACTGATGGCTGTCGTCGGTCTGTCCAAAGAAAATGTTATGCATTTGTGTCCGAAAGAGATATTCATTGCCTGTAATAACGCCAAAACGGATGTTGTATTGAGTGGTAATTATAGACTTTCATCAATTAAAAGAAATCTATTCCATGTATAGATGTGGAGTAAACTCCGCTTTCCATATGCTATTATTTGAAAATCAAATTGTGACCAATGGATGAGAATATTTATAGACCATTTTCTTTGTGGACATATAATTTAAATTGTATTTTTAGGTCCAATGAATGAAATGAAAGAATTGATGAAAACATTGGAAGAGAACCGAGTATTTGTGCGACAATTAGAAAGCAATGAAATCCCATATCATTCACAATATCTGCAGCCAATTGTAGAACCGATGAAACAAATTATTAGACAATATGTGAAAATTCGTGAAATCCGTCCCAAGAAATGGTTGTCCACTTGTATTATGACGGATGAAAAGATATTGTCAGTGAATTACATGACCGACGAGTATTTCGCACACAATTTGCTAAATGAGGTTAAATTTTACGATCGCTTACAGCAACTGCCCTCCGATGCGATTGTGTTAGAGCTGAGCCCACACTCACTCTTCGGCCGCACTGTTGCGGAAACTCTTCCCGACTCTACGTATATATCGCTCATTAAAAAGGACTCAAACAATACAAATATGGATATGTTTTTGTCGGGTTTGACACAACTCTACGAATTGGGCTTTAATTTGGCGATCGATAAACTCTACTCACGGGTCGAGTGGCCGGTGGCCAGGAATACGCAGTCCATCGCATCGCTTATCCAATGGGATCACAGCCACAGATATGTCACTAAACTCTATCCCCATAACTATAACCGTCTGAACGCGTCGGACATGAATGAAGTCATTGATCCCACTCTAAAAGAGGACGCATTTTGTTTGGACCACCGATTGAATGGTCGGCCAGTATTTCCGGCCGCAAGATATCTGTTATTAGTTTGGCAAATGGTTGCATCCGGTTTGGGCACATCATGGTATAAATTGTCGGTCATATTTGAGAATGTTCAGTTTATAAATTTTGTCCTGCTATCTGAAACCTCAACAAATGAATTGCAAATCAAATACAGTCCAAAATGGTTGCATCCGGTTTGGGCACATCATGGTATAAATTGTCGGTCATATTTGAAAATGTTCAGTTTATAAATTTTGTCCTGCTATCTGAAACCTCAACAAATGAATTGCAAATCAAATACAGTCCAATTTCAGGTATAAGCGATTGTATTATACTGTATATTAGGTTTGGGCACAAACTTTAATAACTTTGTAATTTAACCATAGTTTGATTGCAAAAATAACAATTTAATTATATAAATCTATATTAGAAAATTTAATTATAATTAATGCAAAATGCTATCATGACCAATAGTTTGTCCCCAAACGTAGTACAATTGTAAACTTGTAAAATAAATTCATAAAATTTATTTATAAATTCATTTATAAATTTATTCATAAAAATTATTTAATAATACATACTTATAGATGAATTTGCAATTATGGAGACCGAGAGGGAATGCGTTCGCGGATACATACGGGTTGTGGCCAACAATGACATCGTCCTAATGGCACAGAACAAACTCAATGGCGTTGAGCACAGACTCTCTCACTGCGAGTATAGGCTGGAAAGGGATGACATTTATAAGGATTTACGTATTCTGGGCTTAGATTACGGCACAGAGTTTCAACGTCTCCGTAGAGTCGCTACAAATGATTTCAACGAAATGTACGGATTGTGTGAATGGGACGGAAATATTGTCACATTTCTGGACTCATTGTTTCATTCGGTGTATTTGTCGGTATCCTATCGTAAGCTTATGGTACCGGTTGTGGTCAATAGGATTAACATCGATCCGCAGGTCTTATTGCGGGCACTCAAACAAAACAGAATTATTGAGCAAGACGTTGAAACAACCAAAATGGACCATGATCATCAAAATGATTACAACATATCCCCTAATTTGGATATTCCGGGAACTTTACTCATAAATACCGGTAGGTTTGCATTATTTTCGGCAAATATACCGTTTTATTACAATAAAAAGCGCAACCAATTGGTTACGTATGGCATCGAAGTACAGGATTTAATAACACAACCGATACCTAGAAATACTAATACAAAACACTTAACACTCGATTCGTATGAATTTGTTGCCAACGAAGACATGGAGGCTATCGATGATTGCCATAAGATTGTGATTGAAGAATATCTCGATGTAAATAGTTTTTTAATTAATGTTAATTCAAAATATATTATAAAATTAATTAATTACTCAATATATTTAATAGGTTTGCAAATCTATAGCGTTAAAAGTCAAACATTTGAATTTCAAGATTTTATGTGATTTTGATAAACTTAATAATATCACCGAAAATATGATACAAAAGTATAGAAATAAAAACCATGAAAATCATGTAATGTTTAAATTGTTGGACAAAATGCACACAATAGTTAACAATAATAAAAAAGACGATATCAATAATGTTATGCAGAATATTCAGCAGAATCTAGAATACAATTTAAACAATGATTTAATAAATCAAATTCAAGCAAATGAACGCATCATTAGATCTCTCGTTGACATTGTCTGCGAAAATATTCCACAAAAACATGAAATAAAAGTCACAGAAATTAATTTAAGTAATAATTTATTGGTTAAAGAAGTGGAAGAGTTTATTAACAAATTCGTTATAATACCCATTGATATCGATTACAGTATATTTGTTAAGGCAATCAATGGTGAGATTGAAGAGTACAAACATAACGTTATTGAATGGGATTTTAAGAGTTCATTAAATTTGAAATCAAATCATTTGATTATATTTCGAGATTCACAAGAATTATGGGAAACAGATTTGACAGCATTTGTACAAGACTTGTATGACTCAATACAAACCAATGGATTCTTATTATCTGTATTTCGGTATAAGTTTACGGAACCGGAGATTTTAATCATGTCTTTGAATGAAAATTTGAAAATCAATTGCAATAATAAATCATTTGAAAAGCGAATAAACGATTTTATAAGCACCGCAAATAATATGGGATTTCATTTAATAAGTAGTAAATGCGATACAATTGCAACGAAAGCCCTATTGTTAAAAAAAATCACACCAATTGTCAAAATTCCGCAAAATGACGAAATAATTATAATAAATACTGATTACAAGCAATGGTTTGATTTAATAAAAGCCAAATTTATTGAAAAGCGAGATAATAATCAAAACGATAGACATGTATGGCTTGTGGCGAATGACTCGTGTATTAACGGAATCATAGGTTTAATGAATTGTTTGCGATTAGAACCGGGAGGAGAGGTATTCCGCTATATCTTCCAAGAGATAATAATCAAAACGATAGACATGTATGGCTTGTGGCGAATGACTCGTGTATTAACGGAATCATAGGTTTAATGAATTGTTTGCGATTAGAACCGGGAGGAGAGGTATTCCGCTATATCTTCCAAATGGACACCAATACTGACGCTAACATTGACTTCAATACTAAACCCTATTCCGAAATATTGGCCAACGATTTGTTCGCTAATATTATCAAAGGGGGAAAAGTGGGAACTTATCGACACTTAAAACTTCCCAAAGATTACGACAAATGCCTATCAAATGATTATTATCTAAATGTGAGACAAACACGTGATTTGTCTTCACTTCAATGGTTTGATTCTCGAAATATTGCTGACGTGAAAGAAAAATATTTAACTAATAATACAAAAACATTTCAAAATAAAGTACATATTTATTACACGGGTTTAACTTTCAAGGATATCATGCATGCAACCGGTAATTTAACTTGATGATTATTGTTTATATATTTTAAATGTCTATATTTATGTCTATATTAATCAAGGTCGTATTCCAATGGGACCGGAAAAGCTATACACCAATTGTTTATTTGGTTTTGAATACGTGGGCCGTAGGGCTGACACCGGGGAACGGGTGATGGGACTGGAGTTCGGGCGCATGTTTTGCACGTCAGCCAACGTAGCGGACAATTATATGACTGATATTCCCGAACACTGGTCAATGGCAGAGGCGGTCACTGTGTTGACCACATATAGTACTGTACACTACGGGCTCATCAAAAGGGCAAATCTTAGAAAAGGTTTGTTTGATTATTAAAACACTATTTCTGTTATTTAATATCAATTTTCGTATAAAACAGGCGAAAGTGTTTTGATTCATTCGGCGGCGGGAGGTGTGGGTCAGGCGGCTATCAATGTGTGTAAACACTATGAATGCGATATCTATGCGACGGTCGGCTCCGAAGAGAAGAAACAGTTTTTGATTAATGAATACAATATTCCGGAGAAACAGATATTCACTTCAAGAGATATACTCTTCAAGAATGAGATAATGGATGCGACGGACGGACAGGGAGTGGATGTTGTGCTCAATTCACTGACGGGTGAGAAACTGAGCGCCGGTTTAGAGTGTCTGGCGATTAGCGGACGGTTTGTAGAGATAGGAAAGTATGACATGTTTTACAAGAATCAGTTGGCAATGAATAACTCCATTCATGACATACAATTCATAAGAGTTTTCTTGGATTACGTTATTATGAATGATATCTACTATTTAAACGAGTTTTACGATTGGATGCATAAGAACAGTACGAATGGTTGCGTAAAACCATTGAACTATACTATGTTTGAAGCCAAGGATGCGGACAAAGCGTTTCGTTATATGACAAGCGGTAAACACATCGGAAAAGTCATCGTAAATATGAGGGACGAGGAAAGGGAAAGAACTGCCCTTACATTCATTAAACCGGTTCCCAAACTATTGGTTTCCGTTAAGACTTATTTCAATCCAAATAAAGTTTATATAATAACCGGAGGTTTGGGTGGTTTTGGTCTGGAATTGATTCCATGGATGCAATCATTGGGCGCACGAAAATTTGTGGNGTTTCGGTTAAGACTTATTTCAATGCAAACAAAGTCTATATAATAACCGGAGGTTTGGGTGGTTTTGGTCTGGAATTGATTCCATGGATGCAATCATTGGGCGCACGAAAATTTGTGGTCACTTCCAGGTCTGGCCTTAAGACTGATTATCAGAAAAATCAAACTATGGTTTCGGTAACTCTTTATGCGAACGCATTTGCGAAGAGAGACGAAGGGATGGATTGCATGGACTGGCCGTACAGTACGGACCCATCGGTGATGTGGGAGTGTTTGAGAGCACATCTAATAAGTCATCGTTTGTTTCTACTGTCAAAAAACAACGAATCCATTGGTGTTGCGATGTTTTGGACAAATTGCTGACAATTAACAAACCGATTGTCACGTCATATATAATACAGGTATAATATATACAGTGAACTTTCCATATAGTAATTCATTATACAGTTAATTTTCCATATATTGGTCGAAATATTGGTATATTTGGTTATACTGTAATTTGCTTCTTCCACGCTCTTTATGTTTTATAATATGAGACAACTATTTATTTTGCCTAAAAATGATTTGATATAAAGAAGTTTTAATGCAATTCATAACAAACTTTACTTTTATATCTTAAAAACACTAAACAATCTAAAATCAGTGAATATTTCTAATCTAGCATACATAATAATATTATGTCATTTTTGTTTTTAATATTATATTCCCTACTTTTCATTGTATTAATAGTAGATTCCATAGAGTGAACATTCTATACAATGTACTAAAATCTTCTCTAACTGCTCCAACACTGTATGGAAAGTCCATTGTATCGATCAATACTATAAACCATAAACAATATTATGTAAAATTTAATTAAAAATATTTAATTAAAGGATAATTCAAACGAAACGAAAGAAACGGATGGAAAACATAAGCGAATAATTGTTGACTTTTGGAGAACAGTAGGCATTGATCCCAAGTGTACACCAAATGACACCACTTTAGCCGATATTGGATTGGATTCAATGTTTGCCGTAGAATTGCAACAGGAATTGAACCGTTCGTACCATGCTCATTTAACAATTACACAGTTAAAAACCATCACAATTGGTATGCTTAAGGAGTTCGAGAGTGGTGTCGATCATACACTTCGCGCATACATACAAAAGCTGACTAAACAATAAACATTAGATCATATTTGCCAAGTGTTTAGCACTTATAAATAGGTTAATTAAATTGATTTAATATCAATAATTAAAGATCTCTCACAATTTGTAGCCCATTTATAATTGTTTTGTTTTACATTTAATATTTAGTCCGTTTTAATGATATTTTATATTAACTAAAATTCTCAAAAATTTCAAATATCATTTTAAAAATAAGAAAATTATAGTTTGTTATTATACAGTAAGATAGTATTTACTAGTATTTACTAGTTTGTAGATAGTATTTACTAATCAATGGTTAGTAATCATTAGACTTAAAAGGAATGGTATGTGCATATTCAGTACGGTCCATAGATTTATTTACCGTCGGGAAAATCTGCCAATGGCCAGAAATAACCGAATTATTGACAAAATTCGAAATAATTACATAGCATTCAATTGAATGTTAAAAGCAATAAAAAGTTGTGATGAGTCGTGATTCACACATAGCACAGGGCCATTCACCACAAGTCTATGCATTGAATGCTATGTAATTATTTCGAATTTTGTCCATAATTCGGTTATTTCTGGCCATTGGCAGATTTTCTCAACGGTAAATAAATCTATGGACCGTACTGAACATGTACATACCAATCAGAATGGGCAAAGTTGTCATAAGATTTAAAATAATTTGTCATTTGTACTATTTAATTAAAATAATATTATAGTCAAATAAATGTCAAATGATATATTAATCATAAATATTGTAATCACGCTATAAGAATAATACTAAAAAGGAAAATATTTCAATAGCAAATTGCTTAGCCCATTCTGATTGGTATGTACATGTTCAGTACGGTCAATAGATTTATTTACCGTTGAGAAAATCTGCCAATGGCCAGAAATGACCGAATTATGGACAAAATTTGAAATAATTACAGAGCAATCAATGCATAGACTTTTGGTGAATGAACCTGTGCTATTTGTGAATCACCACTCTACACAACTTTTTATTGCTTTTAACATTCAATTGAATGCTATGTAATTATTTCGAATTTTGTCCATAATTCGGTTATTTCTGGCCATTGGCAGATTTTCTCCACGGTAAATAAATCTATGGACCGTACTGAACATGTACATACCAATCAGAATGGGCTAAGCAATTTGCTATTTAAATATTTTCCTTTTTAGGATAAAAAGTCAATAATTACTAATCATTTATTAAATGACAATTTGTTTTATTCTGTATCAAATAAAATAATTTTTATTTTATAAACATAATTCATTTTAAAATATAAATAATAAAAAGTGTGTAATAATTGAGTTCAAAGTGTTGGCCGAAATGCGACCGCAAATCAATTTCCACATCTCTTTCCACGACTCGGACGACAGGTATAGAGATGTCTGCGTTTACGTCAACACCAAAAACAATCTTCACGTCAAAAGATTTAAAGCCATCAAACATTTCTATCACAAACTAACCCCTGTTTTGTGTCTTTATTCATATTTAATGCAAACATTTTTTTAGTTTTAGTTTTATATTTATTGTTAAATTATTATTTGTTAAATAGTTATGAATACAAAAATTTAATTGTGTTTTTAATGCTATAATTAATACTATTTTTTGCAAAACTGTTTAAATATTGCGACGAAATGTGAGATAAATGAGTGAAATGTTTGGTCTTTGATATGAAGCGAAATGACATCACATGTTATTCCGTGGGTTTTGGGGGACTCTTAGCCGTGGTTTTGTCCGCATTTGTCGGTGTCTTCTTCTTGTGTCCCTTATATCCCGAAATAGACTTCACGAGACCTCCTCTGGTCAGCAGCTGCTCGTAGTATTTGGTCCCGTCGTCCGATTGGGCGGTCCTATCGCCAGGTGTGGCCTCAGCCCCGGCCACCGCTTCTGTTGACTGATCCGCCGGTGACTCGGGTTTGACTGGCGATGGTTTCGGTGTCTTTCGTGATGTGGTTCTCGACATTTTGGTCGGCGTT